ATGGACACCATCTTATCAGTTCTGCAGTTTTTTGACAATCTACTGTAAACCTCCACCTAAAAGCACTGGGCTTATATTCTTTCGTAAGCGATTTTTGATGGGCTTACACAAGGGGCGCTTATACACGGGGGGGGGCTTATATTCAGAGGTTTATGGTATGTGTGGTTTTCATGATTTTCAGTGTATAGTCTTCCCTTGCTCATCACAAATTAATAAAAAGATCACACACTACATAATTGATGTTGATAAAAATTTATTTATTTTAAAATCGGAAAAATATTAACATAATATTGCTGTACTTAAAGATAATTAAAATGTTTTTAAAAATAAAATTTTATGCGCACAATATTTTTAAAATATTGCACACATTCATTTCACACATGGATGCTACACACGTAAAAATTGAGAAAATCAACACCTTGTTGCAAGTTGATATCGACAGGCGTGAACAAGGTTGTGCGGCCCACTATGAACAGTATTGTGAACATGTTGTTACAGCATTGTTCAACTGTAACAACTTGGAACAACATGGTTGACAACTTGTTCATAGTTGGCCACACAACATTGTTCATGCCTGTCGATATCAACTTGCAACAACCTGTGCGTTTTTAGCCGTGTATATGATAAAGTATATGAAAGGTGATGCTTTTGCTCTAGCTTAATGATGTATTAAAACAATCTAGAGGTATTACAGAATTAGTAAACCTCTTCAATCGTAATCATTTGCATGATTGGCCGCAACAGATATGAATTCAGTGAATGCTTTATCTTCTTCAAATGTCCATTTATGAAGTTTTACTGGGAATTTCTTTGGAGGAGTCGTTTAATCTTTCTGATAAGAAACTACAAAACAAACAGCAAAAGTGAGAGGGGCAATGTTAGTGCCAGCACAATTAGACAACAACAAAGAAACTCATGGATTTTTACCAGGATTGTGTGCATGTTTCTCCAGGAAATTTGTGTACTATAGGTTTTCTGGAATGCCCAGCATTGAAAAATAATGTTGGCGTACGGGTGGATAGAAATTGCCCAACATTGTCATGAGTTTGTGAACAAGAGGTATAAAATAGAAGGAATACATCTCCTATACAGACTAGCAGAAATACTGTTTAAAGTCAATCTTAAAACAATTGCCCAATTTTTAAAGCAGAATTCTGCCCAACTAAACACTGACTGGAGGGGTTGCAACCCCCCCCCCAGCCTCATATGCCTATGGACAGAAATTCTCCCAGGCAAAAAAGCATTAAAATACAATGTTACTGTCACTATGATAATAACTCAAGCCCCCATTATTAACATATTGTTTCATTAAAAATATACAATGTTTTTGTGTAATCATACTGTATTTTTAATATGTTTGTAAAAACATTTGTACTTTTAAATACACCTTGGCTTTGGACTCTGAAACAAAGTTCGGCTTGATGTTGAATTTTTCAAACGAGAAATTCTGTGTCTTTTATTATTAGGTTTCCCTGGGGGAAATATGTACGAACATATATGCGTATGTTTCAAAATTATCATGGAAAATAGTGTTTATAGTACAATAATTTCCTTCGCACCATGATGATTATCAGGCGGTCTACCCCATTTTCAAACCGCGATTACTCGTCGGTTTAGTGGAGCAAATCCATGTTTTAAAGTAACAGTAGAAAGAATAAATCTTCCCGAATTCGATGACGTGTTTTGTTTTTATTTTCCTAAAAAAAAAGTGAATTTGCTTCTGCATTATATCAAGGTCATTTTATTGGCGTGTCCACTGACCCGGAACAAGCATAATTACAATACGTAATTAGCATAACTAAAAAGCAATTCCTGTACCAAATAAGTCAAAATTAGTTTAATTAGGTTCTTAAATAATACAAATATAAAAACATACCTTCGAAAAAACGAGATATACGAAGCCAAAATCGCAATGTATTTCAACAACTTTTCGCCAAACGTTCGTTGAAAATCGTAATTGTGAATAATAATGAGACGCAATGCATTGTGGGAAGACCCTCATTCCTCCTCTGCAGCAACAGCTTCTTGTTGGATTTCACGTATGAAAAATGCACAAGACTTTCTGTCTTCATATGCTGATCATCATTTTTGTTAGCATGTGTTTTACCAGTATTATTAACATACTTAACAAAATCTCCAGCAGCATACTCTTCGATTGTGACAATCTCATTTGTTTCTTTAATTCTTTAACACATCAACATAACTAAACGTTAGAAAGTTTGTAGTTATTTGTAACATATGACAATCATATGATGGCCATGTACTGTATATTGCTGGTATTTTGGCATTTACTTATTGCAGGAACATTTAAGTACATGGTGAGTATGTAGAGTGAGGACCAACTTGTACATAAAAGCAATACCTGCCCGCAATTTTAATTAAAATATACACAACAAAACACAATCTGAAGATTGGCACCTCAAAACCCAAGATATGTACAAGATATTACAAACTCATTCTTGTCTTGTTTTCTCTTCTATTTTTGGTTTCAAGATGCTAATCTTCAAATTATGTTTTAATTAAATCTGCAACATATTTGGACAAAATGCAGAATGAGAGTATGACGGTAATCCCATATTGACTTACATGAAGTTTTTGGGGTGGGGGCTGATGATAGGTGAAGTTGTTTTTTTGGAGAGGGGGGGGGGGGTTACTGAATAACAGACATACTGTAGTAATAACCAACACAGAAGAACTGTTAAATTGGTCCAAAACCAAAACTCATCTAGAACCAATAATAATAGGTCCCTCCAGTGTATATGGTGAAAAAGTCTGAAGATGCATTTTTCCTCAAGGTTATGCTGCCATTTTTTTAAACTTATTGAGCATGTTTTATTAACCTACCTGAAAGCCTTGCCAAATACGTCTTCATTTCCATCCTTTTGCACTTTTGCAGAAATTTGTTCAGCAAAATGTTTGGCCAATGAGTGCATCTGGACAGATTTGCGAGCATCATCCATTTCAGTCTCACCAAGCTGAGTAATTATATCTTTAGTACCAGGCAAAAAGTACTTAACAACATAAGTTTTCCATTTGAAATGCGGAGAATTTGAAGTATCTTTACGAGCCAAACCAAATCCACCTCTACCAAACTCTTCTTTTTCGATAGCAAAATGCACTGAAACTGGTGCTGACCAAACCATCTCGTCAATGTTAAAAGTTGAAATTTCAATAGTTTCATCTAGGGATTCTGTCTCACTTATTGGTTTTCCTAGCTTCAACATTGCCGTAACTGGGAGACTTTTTGGGAATTTTTTCATTGCTAGTGGTGATGGTAACTTTCGTTTCAGAATATTACTAATGGAAGAACAAGGTACAGAAATTGGCGGTGCTAAGGGGCTAAAAAATCGTCATACAGCACTGGGTTTACTTGGTTCCACAAAAGTAGTAAAGCCCCCCTATATGGAGTTCAAAGGGATGCCGCCAATGACGTCACGCTGCTCCGAAAGTAATTAGTATGCAAGATATGTGACGCAACTTTGCTGGCCCTAACCCTAACCCTGGGCCAACTGTGACAGGTAGCACGACCAATTAACGCGGGCAGGCCTGGGCCAACTGTGACAGGTAGCGCGACCAATTAACGCGGGCAAGCCTGGGCCAAATGTGGCAGGCGACAATTAGCATCGCAACTAGTTTCTGACAAATTTGTAATAAAACGACAAGAGGTTTCTCATAGTTTGCATGTGTAAATGTATGAAATAGAAGTTAGTTTTTAAAATCTACTGTTAGCTCAGTTGGTAGAGCAAAGGACTGTAGTTATTACCAAATCAGTATTCCTTAGGTCACCGGTTCGAACCCGGTACGGTAGAAATTTTTTTTTTTTTTTGCCTTACAACCATGTAGCAACGTTGTGAGTCCATCTCTTATTTTCAACACGCAATTGAAATTCGTTTTAATTTTTTAATGAATTTGATGGCTCGTTTTGAGCAATAAGTTTCCAAACAGAAATAAAAAACATCGCAACAGAAATAAGCAGTTCCTAATCCCGGGTTGTCAAAGCCGTTGTTATGATCCCAATTTGCATGTTGTTCAACATTATTTAGCAAACCCGCATACATATATACGGTCAAGATGACCGAGTCAGATAGAATACTTGAAGGAAATAACCTGTAGAACAATTTAACAGTCTTAGTTGTAATATTTTTTGTCTATTATTTGTATTAAGAAACATGTTTTAAACTTTGCTGCGTTGTTATGTGTTTGCCAAGTGATTAGGTGGCGTGTAGGTAATTAAGGGATTAGGCGAACAAAAAATTTGCATAACTAATGTATCCCGATGGATAGATAGGGATTGCTGCGTTGTTATGTGTTGCCAAGTGATTAGGTGGCGTGTAGGTAATTAAGGGATTAGGCGAACAAAAAATTTGCATAACTTAATGTATCCCGATGGATAGATAGGGATTATATCCTAAGATATTGATATCCTAAGAAAAATGATATCCTAAGATACTGGATGATATCCTAAGATATTGATATCCTAAGAAAACTGATATCCTAAGATACTGATATCCTAAGATACTGATATCCTAAGATAATGATATCCTAAGATATTGATATTCTAAGATACTGATATCCTAAGATACTGATATCCTAAGATACTGATATCCTAAGATATTGATATCCTAAGATACTGATATCCTAAGATACTGATATCCTAAGATATTGATATCCTAAGATATTGATATCCTAAGATACTGATATCCTAAGATACTGATATCCTAAGATATTGATATCCTAAAATATTGATATCCTAAGATAATGATATCCTAAGATATTGATATCCTAAGATACTGATATCCTAAGATACTGATATCCTAAGATACTGATATCCTAAGATATTGATATCCTAAGATATTGATATCCTAAGATATTGATATCCTAAGATACTGATATCCTAAGATACTGATATCCTAAGATACTGATATCCTAAGATATTGATATCCTAAGATACTGATATCCTAAGATATTGATATCCTAAGATATTGATATCCTAAGATATTGATATCCTAAGATATTGATATCCTACGATACTGATATCCTAAGATATTGATATCCTAAGATACTGATATCCTAAGAAACTGATATCCCAAGATACTGATATTCCTAAGATACTGATATCCTAAGATACTGATATCCTAAGATATTGATATCCTAAGATACTGATATCCTAAGATATTGATATCCTAAGATACTGATATCCTAAGATACTGATATCCTAAAGAAAACTGATATCCTAAGATACTGATATCCTAAGATATTGATATCCTAAGATACTGATATCCTAAGATATTGATATCCTATAAGATATTGATGATATCCTACGATACTGATATCCTAAGATACTTAT